ATACCAGGTGATACCTCAAAATCAGCAAAGCCAAGCTCAGCACTCACAACCCCTGCAGCCATGGCTGTGCTGATCAATACTGTACTCCCAGCAAACACATCTGTCAAGCAAAAGACAATAAAAACTCAAGAGCTGAACAGGAAAAGCAAGAAGTGGCAGCCAGTCATCAGCACAGCAACCAACAACTCAGGATACTCCAGCAAACAACTTAGTGAACAGGCCAAATAGCCTTTTATTGATCCCTACCCAGGAGCAAATGTACTTGTACCTATTTAATGCTGCTCATTTTATCATTAGCTTCAGAGTGGCACAACCATAGGCTTCCTGGTTCTGCTTTTGATCTTTAAATCAATCCCTCATTCCCTTCCCTTCGGAGGCTGATGGGAAAGCAGGTCAGAGCAGCTGTTCAGTGTAAGAGGCACAGAAACACCTCACTAACTACAGGAGAGGGTTTCTGCCTGCCAGGGCTATTCCTCAATTCATCACCCCAAGATGAGAACCCCTGGCATTACCAGAGGTGAGATGCACGTACCTGCCTGCCATCCTGTCCCACGTTGGTCTGTCCTCTCACCACAGTCCGAATGTTGTCATCCAACCTCCTGGAAAAAAGAACCCAAGAATGTCAAACTCAGTCTCTCTGTGCCTGACTCAAACAACTGTGGGAACCCTGACAGCTACAGAACCAATTTTAAATAAAAAAGCCAATGCTACCAATGATAAACTCACTTTTTGCCCCCTTCTCTCTCTGTTGGATGTCACTATCTTATATCATTTAAAAACTCCTGTTGAAAAAATAAAAATCAATTTCCTAATTTAATCAGGGCTTCTTGCAGTTCTCCTCCTTTAAGCAATATTGTCAGCTCTGCCTTGTCTGTTTGCATTTCAGCTTTCCACATATTAAAGTGCTGTCTAAAACACTGCAGGTTGATAATGTCAGACTGCACAGGAAATCTAAGCATTTCCTGCCCTCTTATATTTATTTTGCACTTATAGGACCAATACTGCCAATTAAAAAAAATACATGAGTTTTACAATTGATATTTTAGCATCACAAAACATAAATTCATGGCAGTTGAGTCTTCTGGGCAGTTTGTTCTCTCAGTCTTCAAACTGTTCTAAAATTTGGAAAGATTTGGTACTTTTTGATTCACAGTTTATTTTTTTTCGAAGCTGCACTTTGCAACTCATCAGCTAAAATAACATGAAGGGCATGTATTGTACAATACAGGTGAAATATAAAAAATTATAATAAAGGTACCACTATTAGCCTTGAGGCTGAGCCTACTCATGTCTTTTAAGCAAATCAGTTCCTACCAGCTACAGTGCAAAGGCTGCATTTATGAAGTCTCAGTGACAACTAGAGATACAATGAAACAGAGAAATACTTACCTTATTTTCAATCTGATTTTGTTCACAACTTCATCGATGTTTGCCAAAGACTAGAATATGAAGAAAAAAAAAAAACAGAGAGAAGTGAAATGGCAAATGTTTTACAAAGATATATGTCAGCTGTTATCCTGAACACTGTACCCCTTGTGGCTCCTGACAAAGAGGAGAGCAATGGCTTTGTTTTACAGGTGGAGGAACTGAGACACACAACAACAACTCAGCTGCTTCTCTGCTACATCACAAAGAGCAGCAAAAGACGGGCCAGGCCAAGGCTCCTGCCTGCCCCTATCCCTGAGCTCTGCCTTGTCCTTTGTCAGCAGAACTGCTCCCAAAAGCCGTGTGACAGTGACCTCCAGTGGGCAATGGGGATGGGGACAGAGCCTTTGCCTTTCCTGGGCAGAGACCCTCTTGGAGAGCCACACACCCCTAACACAATCTTCAGCTGCAGAAACATCTCTTTTTTGCAATATGTTAGTCCAGAACTCCCCCCAGGGCTGATGTGGGGAAGACAAAGTGCAGATATGAGCCCACAGCAACCTCACTCTTTAAATCTCAAAAAAAACCAATGGTTCAAACATGGATGACTCTCCTGTGACACTGCAAAAGGCAACACCTGCCTGATTTGGCTGAAATCCCAGAGAACTCAGCAATTATTAACACACAGTGAATGATGACATTTACTGCAGGAGAAACATCTACATTATGACATTTACTGCAAGAGAAACATCTACACAGAAACTAGTTTACTTCTACAGATCAAAGCAGGACCCTTACTGCAGCAAGCACTCTGGGTGGAAAGAGACTACATAACGACAGCAAACCTTGTGAGATGCAAATTTAAGAAGCAATTATTGTTATAGCCTTATTAGCTGTGTTACTCTTTAAAAGAAAAGGTTTGGGTACAGGTTTAAACACACCTTTAGTCATCTACTATCAGGTTACCCCAAGAGTAAAGGGTGAAAGCAAAACCTGATAGTAAAAAGTTTGAAAGTAGAGTCTGAGAGGGCTGTACTTGGAGCACTACTTACTTGCTCAGTGGGAAAGAGAGCATTAATATACTCCACAGCATTGAAATCTGCTCTGTCCAGTGGATCTTGGCTGGGAAACACCTGAAGAGAGGGAGGAAAACAAACAGAATCAACAACCACTGATAATTTCTGTAACTCTACACACTATCTACCACTTCTAATTACTTCAGCACCCACTTCTGATTGTATCTCACGTTGTTCTAACAAGTGGCCAGGCCTCTGCCCAGGAGTAGAGCAGCCATGTGCTCTGCAGGTCTCTGACCTACTAAAATTCCTGTGGTTATCACCCTGGATAAACACAGACAACTCACACACATGCTTCCACATACAGCCCTGGCACAATCCATCAAGGAATTCCCAGGACACACGAGCTATTAATCACATATCCCAAACCATCCTGAAGCTTTTGCTGTTGTCTGGGAACAAACTCCAGTGCTGAGGCTCTGCGCTTCTCTTGGCCTGGGCTTTGCAAGGCTCCGTGGTGACAGATGATTTGCTTTTCACAGCCTTGTAATAGGAAACGTGAAGAATTAAGAAGTGGTTGTACAAGTTCTCTGGAGACTTGGGTTTGCCACATCTCACAGAAGAGGGGGAGAATAAGAATCTGCTGAATGATTGTTCCTACTCATGGGAAGAGAGCAGCTGTGGTGCAAACAGATCCCATCTCTCCTCAGAAGAAACTCAAATGATACAAATGTGGCTGCCAGGCTTTGCTTTCTGTCCCTACAGACTAAAACGTGGTGCTTTCCCTTCCCTCCTACCACACTAAAGTTGTGGATGCCCCATCCCTGGAAGTGTTCAAGGCCAGGTTGGACTGGGCATGGAGCAACCCAGTCTAGTGGATGGGTCCCTGAACCAGCCCTCTTGGGCAGCTTTCCCAGTCACTCCTGTGGCCAAGGAGAAGCAGGCAGCAGTTAAACATGCATGAGGATGAGGCTGTGCTGAGTGAGGAAGATGCTCTGACGTCAGACCACGGTAAGAGCACGGCTGCAGCATCACACCCAGCCTTGTCAGATACACTCCACAAATCCCAAACCTCCACAAGTATTAAGAGCAGATGAAACAAGAGGTGAGATGGAAGATAAAGGTTGGTAAGGAGCTCCACTCAAACTGCAGATAGAGATCAGCGCCGCAGGCAGCTGGAGCAGCTGAAGGAGTTGTCACTCCCAGGAGTTTGTCACAACCCATTAATCAGAAACACTACGCCAGGTTTGGTGGAGCACCAGCCTGCCTGTGCTCCCCACCCTGCTTCAGGCAGGTCAGCTGAGCCAGCTCTGCTCACTGACCCACAACTGGGCAGGCTTTGCCCAAAGCTGGTTAAGGAACACTCAAAGGAACAACAGTGTTATTGGGTTGAGAAGTGCCAGTGAGGAAGTGACGGAAGGCAGGAGGTGGTGTCATCCTCAACATCTCTCCTTGCTCAGGACGTGAATATCTGCCTACAGCTCCACTGCCTTTCCTCCCTCCTGGTGCTCACTTGGGATGCTGTGCCAGCTCCCACGGTCTGCCCTAATTCTCCAAGGGACAGCCATGAGAAGTGAGCCACAAACCTCAACATTCAAAACAACGAAAAAACTTATCTGAATGATACTTTGTGAGACAGCTGCTGCTGCTGCCCACAGACTTCTGCTACAGCAAAGAGCTTTTAGGATGGAAGGGCTGGCTGCAGGCAGCGCAGGCTCACAGAGAACAAGAGACATGGTTTCACCCTGGGTTCTCCTGGGATTTTGAAAGGCTTCAAGTGCCACAAAGGGTTTCAGGGAAGCCTGGAGGACTTGGGCTGAACACAGAATCATAGAATACCCTAAGCATCATCTAGTCCAACTCCTGGCCCTGCACAGGACACCCCAACGATCCCAGCCCAGCCCCAACAATCCCACCAGGTGCTGAGAGCATTGTCCAAACACTCCTTGAGCTCTGTCAGGGCCGTGACCACTGCCCTGGGGAACCTGTTCCAGCGCCCAAACACCCTCCTGTGTATCAGCCACAAATCAAACCAAGCCATTCAGATTACCATGACCTCCACCGAGCCACAGGCACCCGAGTGCACTGAGGTGCTTCACATACGACTGAACGCGCCTGCAACCAGCGATAGAGCCCTGCGCTGCCGCAGAGCCGCCTGTCAGCGATGGGGACGTGGGGGGGACATGCTCAGCACAGGCCCGAGCACCTCGGACCCGGGGGTCCGAGCCCAACCGGGGCTGACGGGGCTCTGCCCGGGGCTCCCCGGGCCCAGCAGCGGGGAAGGCCCGGGGAGCGCGGCGGGGACTCGCCCGGCCCCAGGCCCTCACCGAGCGGCCCCGGGCCGCGCCCCACAGCTGCCCCCTCACGGGGGGACCCGTCCCGGCGCACCTGCTCGATGGCGGCCTGCACGGCGGGCGCCAGTTCCAGCGCCGCCTCCAGCCCGGCCTCCAGCTCCGGCTCGTCCTCCTCCATGGCGGCGCCGCTTCCGCCGCGCTGAGGGGCGGGGTCCATGTGAGGGGGCGGTGCCTATACGGGCGTGGTCTCGCTGAGGGGGCGGGGCTTGTGCCTGCGGGGGCGGGGCCTCCCGCCCGGCGGAGCGGGGCGAGTCCCGGCGGCGGCGGCGGGGCTGGACCGGACCGAGCCCAGCTGAGCCGAGCCCGGCTGGGCTGAGAGGGGCCGAGCCGAGCCAAGCGGAGCTGAGCTGAGCTAAGCCCATCCGATCCAATTCAAGCTGAGCTGAGCCGATCCGATCCGATCCAAGCTGAGCTGAGCTGAGCCGATTCGATTCAAGCCGAGCTGAGCCGAGCCGAGCTGAGCCGAGCCGCCCCGGGCCCTCCCGCCGCCCGCCCGGCTGTTGACAAGCGGCGGCGGGAGTCAGCGCGCTCGTCCCCATGTGGCGGACGCTGGCCCTCGCCTCCGCCTTCTTCCCGGGGCTCTTCGTCCTCTGCATCCGGTTGCTGCGCTGGGCCGCCCCAGGATGGAGCCTCAAGGACCGCATCCTGCTCAGCGGCAGGTACGGGTGGCAGCGGCGGGAGGGGAAACCGCACCGCGGCGGGACAACGCCGCCCGTACCCACCGGGAGCGGGACTGGGAGCGATCCGGGCGGGGCAGGAGCACCGAGAGCCTGCATCCGGGGATGCCCAAGCCCGCGACGCTCTGGGGGCCGGACCCCGGCTGTCCCGAGCCCAGATCCCGCGAGGGGAGCAGGGGCCGGTGGCCGGAGCAGCCCCGCGAGGGTGGGCAGCCCCTGAAGGTGGGCATTCCACGAGGACGGGCTTTCCCCGAGCATAGGCAGCCCCCGAGGGTGGGCATCCCCCCGAGCACGGGCAGCCCTGCCCGGCCGTACCCCCGCGCTGTGCTACCCGTTGTCGAAGCGGGGATGCTCCAGTGCATCGCTCCTTCTGCCCACGGGGAACGGGTCAGCTCCACTGACCCACGGGGGTGGAAGGGATGAGACGTGGCAAGAACCCCCTCTCTATTCTGGCAAGAAGCCTGTCCCCGGCAGGCAGCGCTGGCACGGCCACCCCTCGCTGTGGTGTGTCACACTCCTGGGGTGTGCATGGAGTGGGTGTCTAAGTGCTCCCAGCTCTCCTGGTGCCAGCCCTGTGCCTCGGCCCTTCTGGGGTCACGTTTGGGGTGACCTGTTTCCTCTCTCTCGGTTTCAGGCTGGTGTCAACGGTCCAAGCCACAATGGCCACGGTGTCAGGGATCACGGTTATCCTCAGCTGCAAGAACGTGGTGCATGACAGGTAACCCAGCGCCCACTGCCCCTCAGGGAACACACAGAGGATGTGCCCAGCCAGCTCCAGGGCTAGAATGTTTTATGCCAAAGGCTTGCACGTACAAAGGGGAGAGGAAAATCAGTTTCATGCTCCCCTTTCCTCCACTTTGTGTGAAGGGTTGGGCAATGTGCTGGCTGTACACCCCCCCTCCACAGCACTGGCTTGTTCCGAGCGCTCAGACACGGGGCTGCTCTGCCAGCACAGAGTCTCCTCCACAGGATGGCCTGTAACACAGGCTGTGTGTGAGCAAAAAATATAGACATCATCAGTTCTAAAGGGGCAGGGAGTCTCCTTGCTGGAAGCTGAAATTGCTACCGAGTCAAGCAGACGTAGCGAGAACTGATTTTAGAGGTGCAGCGTCTTCTCCGTGCCAAAGGGATTCTGAAGGAGTCCAGAAATGAGAAAATCAGAATGGAGTTTGCTCTGAAAGAAAATCCCGTTGCCCTGTCCTGAACGCTCCGAGATAAACTGCCAATAAGTGGCTCCCAGGAGGAGAGTGATAGTGTAATCTGGGTCAGAAGACTTAAAAACAGAGCTATTATCCAGACTAGCAGAGAAGATCGTAGGAGGGAAGAATATAATTATGCTGAGCTGGAATTTGACTGTCACACACTGATTTTTAGGAAGGACTGCCCCCTCGGTCATTGCAGACTTGTTTTTAATACACAGATGTGAAGTGTCCTGCCTTGCTCTAGATAGTGAGATCTATCCAGATTGCTCAGTCCTGCTTAATCCAGGCAGTCTATGAGTTACCTTTTTGCTCTAAAATAAAATTTCTGCCGGATAGATAAGGCAGATGATGAATCCCAGAGCCACAGAGATGGAAGGTGCTACCAGCAGCCCTCCTTCCCCCCAGAGCTGTCTGCTTGCCCGGGTGTTCTCAAGGCCAGTGGCTCTGTGCGAACACTTTGTGGGCAGAGACCTAGATTTTCTTTGAATCTGGAGGAAATAGAGCCCAGTGCTCAGCAGGAAAGGCCTCGGAGAATGACAGCGAGACAGCGCGCCAGGAACCATCACAAAGGTTGCAGTAAAACTGCCAGTTTATTTACAGAAGCAGACAATCATTATATTGCCTGAGCTGTAATTGCCCTCCAAAGCCCTGGGCAAGTTTTGCAAACACAATCACTCGCCCTCCCTGCTTTACATCACTGACATCTTTCTATCTGGAGCAGGAACATGTGCAACAGAATTTTCCTTGGAATGGCAGGAGAGCAAAAACAGTTTTATTTGAGCCCCAAGCTACGTTTCTTTAAGCAACAGCGTGGGGTGGTTTTGGGTTTTTTTTTTTTATCAGTGTGATTTCACTCAGGACTTTTTAAGGAGGCTGGAGTCCCTGCAGAGCAGGGCTTGCTGCTGCCCAGATTGTGCAACCGGGATTCCGACATGCTTTGGGAACAGGCAGCTGCCTGCAATTATTTCCCAACTGACAAACGCCTCTTGGGGGTTTATTGCTTATATTGGATATTTTGCGCCTCACCCTCCAAACTCCAGGCCAGGCATAGCCAGTTAACTCTGAGTTCTCCAGGAGCTTTCCAAACCCTCCCCGGGTCAGGCAGCCAGCCGACGTGGCTTGGCAGGCAGGAGGGAGCCAGGATCAGAATTTCCCCTTCCTCCCCCACCAAGCACCAGCTCTGGGGGTCTCAAGGCTTAGGGAAGATCACCTGCTGCAAAGGCATCGGTTTGGTGCTGGATCCTGAGGGGTGCTGTGCCCCTGGCCCGTGCAGCAGATACTTGGCTGTGGGGCTAATCAGGCTCCTCGTTAGCGCCGTGTTTGTGCTTGGCCAGGCTGAGCTTGGTGCCTGGCACAGCCCAGGGGGAAGCGGGGCCAGCGCCAAGTCGTCCTCCACACGTACCAGGTACCTTTTCCCTGGGACAGTCTGTACCTGCTGAGCCAAATGGAGTTAAAATTTCCCCCCCTTTCAGTTTGCCATCAGCTTCAAAACCCGCTGCTGCCATTTCAGACCTAAACACTCTCTTCTCCTCCTTCCAGGGCATCGTGAGGTGCTCGGAGCCCTTGCAATGCCTCTGTGTGTGCTGCTCCTCCCCTAGGCACTGGCTGGCCGTGGAGTACATCTGGGTCCTCGTTCCCTACATGACTTATGACATCTATGTCATGTACCTCTGCCACTGGCACAAGAGCCTAGAAAAGGGAATTGCAGAGAAGAAGCACTCGCTGGCCAGTGTGTGGAGCTTCCTCCTGCAGGAGCGGCTGATGGTGACCCACCACCTCTTCATCCTCATCGTGCTCACCCCCATCACCCAGGTAAGGGCTGGGCACGGCTGCTGCAGGAGCCCATGACCCCCTGGAGATGTTGGGTGTTGGCTCCCAGTCACCTCCCTGGAGGGCCCCATGCTCACTGCTGCCTTTCTTTTACAGCACTTCAGGGGAGAGCTGGGGGACTTCTTTGTGGGCTGCATCTTCACAGCAGAGCTGAGCACACCTTTCGTATCCCTGGGCAAAATCCTCATGCAGGTAGGTGAGGAGGGACAGGGCTTGGGTCTGGGAACCCCACAGCAGTTTGTACCCAGGCTCCATCAGCTCCTGTTCATGCAGCAGCTGGGCCAGAGGTCTCAGAGAGGGGCAGCCCCACAGCTCTAACCCCAATCTCCCTTGCAGTGCTGCCTTCCTCCCTCTGCATCCCATTACTTTCCCCCAGTGGGCAGCCACACCCCATGGCATCCCAGAATTGGGGGCTGTGCCACGGCCTGGTGCTGCCCTCTCCTGCCTGTCCCTCCCCTGCACCACGTTCACTCCCACCCCAGCCCTCTGCCCCCATCTCCCTTCCCCCTACCCTCCTCCATCCTTTCCCACCCAAGACCTCCTGAATGCTCACCTCCCTGCCCCCAGCACAGTCAGTGCCCAAGGAGAAGTGCTGCTCACCCCATGCTGGCCTCCTTCCTTCCCCAGCTCAAAATGCAGGACACGCTCCTTCACAAGGTGAACGGGATCCTCATCCTGGTGACCTTCTTCCTCTGCCGCATCCTCCTCTTCCCCTTCATGTACGCGGCCTACGGGCGGCAGGTGGGGATGCCCGTGTACATGGTGCCTTTCCGCATCCCGCTGCACTGCAACATCGCCAACGCCTCCCTCATCGCCCCCCAAATCTACTGGTTCAGGCTCATCTGCCGCAAAGCCGCCCGTCTCTACGGCCGCCCGCCCGCCGACCGGAGCAGATAACGGCCGGCCCTGCCAGCCCAGCCGGGGGCTGCAACGGGGTCAGCCCCTCCAGGGGCTGAACGGGGTCAGCCCCCCCGGCTCTCCCGCCGTCACTGCAGGGACCAGAGCGGGAGCAGGGAAAGCGCCGGGCCGTCCCAGCTGGAAGCAGCCTCACGTCTCCACCGCTGTGCCAGGCAGCGCCAGCCTGGGCTAGGAAGGCTTTCCTCCCACACCGCTCCAGCGCCTTGTGTCCACCCGCCCGTGGGAGCCCGGGGTGGGAGCTGGATCATAAGCACAACATTCCATTCTGGGGTTCAACGCCGTGGCACGGAACTAACGGTTACACGAGAGGGGTTTGTTACAACCCCCCCGCTGCATGTTCCAGGGCTGACACCAGACACCGGCACGGTGGTGTGGAGGAGCCTGCAGACAGAGGAGGGGATCCTGGAGCATCCAGCCCTTACAGAAGCATGGATGGGGATGGGGAGCTGTGTGCTGGACCTGCCGCAGCCCCAGCTCGCTCTTCCAGCTCCAGCTCAGCCTCCAGCCGAGAGCAGAGCCAGGCCTGGAGCTGCAGCACAGTTCTGCAGAGCTGTTCCTGACCTTTACCGACTTCACCTCTACACTACAGCCCTGTTCAGCCTCTGACCTCCCATGTGCACCTCCCGCTGCTGCTGCTGGGCTCAAGCTCATTTAAAGCTCCACTTAACCCGAAGGTGCTTTTCATTACAACTGTCTGATGTCTGTCTGACAGTCCTGAGGCCGGGGCTCCGGTGTTCCCAGCAGGGCTGGAGGGAAGAAGCTCATGCCAGGACAGGGCAACAGTTGCACTGTCTCACAAACAACACTGGCAGGGCAGGGTGCCCATGGCTGAAGGGCAGGATGGGGATGGGAACCTGCCAAGTAGTCCTCATCTCTCCAACACACAGGGCACTATGCAGAGCCCTTTGTTGGCAAAGGATGCAACTTTCACCCCCTCCTCTAACTACAGCTGCTTTTATCTGCCCCGCATCCCCTCAGCAGGTATTTAAGACCATCTGACACACCCTGCCTTGCTCTGCCCTCCAGCTGGCACCACCACGCCCTGGCAGCAGCTGTGGTATAGCCCAAGCTCCGGTTGTATGGTCCATCCCTCCAGCCCCATCCTACTCCCCTACAAGACTGCCAGGGATGGAACTGGGGCAGCGCAGAAGGAACCAGCAACCCCAGAGCAGGGTGCTGAGCTGGTTTTCCTTCACCAGTTCAGCCCATTCCCACCTTCAGTCACAGCAAAATGGGTTTGGGCTGCCTGGCTCACCCTGCACCACAGGGTTCACCAGCCCTGTGGGTGTGTGCAATCAGACCACAGCAGTTCAGTGCAGTTCAGTACCTTCCCTGCGGCCACCAGCACAAGCCAGGGCAGCCTCCTCCTCCCCACAGCCTCCCGTGCCCGCTCCAGGGCAGGGAACTGCACCAGCCCAGCCCTGGCATGGTCCTGGCACGGCCCCACACCTGGGAGACCTGTGACCACTCTGTGCCTTTCATTCTGTCTGAAACCAGCAGCCAAGCTCTGGAAGATCTGGATCTTTTGGGTGTTGTATCTCATCCCAGTCACGGCTGTTGTTCTGGATAGAGTAAAAAAAAAAAGGAAATAGGGCCTCTTCCAACTTGTTGCAGAAGTGCCGCTGTCACAGTAACCACCGAGACCAGCTGATGTTATAAACCGCTTGCAACTCGTTACAGATGTTTGTATCTCACTGTTTTCATTGCGAATAACGTGCCTTATGTAAGGACAAAAAAAAACCACCAGCCAATGAGGCACCTCAGTTTGCACTAACACTGCCTTATTTACTATCTGGAGACCAATAAAGATTTCCTTTCTGAGTCACACCACTGGCTGGCTCTCCCACGTGCCATTTGTTTCTGGGTGGGGGTGTTACACACAGTGTTGCTGCTGCACCCCCACCTCCGGGCAGGAGCAAACTGCACGTATTTCTAAAGGTTCCTGCCTGTCCTGAACTCACTCAACTCGCTTCCCAGCCTCCAACTTGCTTCCCAGCCTCTGGCAGCATGTGGCAAACCCAGCAATCCTCCCAGGACTAGGAGAGGGCTGGTGGCAAAGGAGCTGGAAGGAAACAATTTCCCTGATGCTGGAGGCTGCCGGGCTCTCTGTAAATCCAGACTGCCAGGAGGCAAGGCTGGAGCCACAGAGCTGCCAGCTCGTGTCCACAGTTATTCCCATGGAAAACTGAAGTGGTTCCTCCTACCCATCTTTACACAGCCCCTCCACTGCTTAGGCAGGGTGGGAGAAAACACAGCAGGGAGGAAATAAATACAAAAGTGAAAAATAGGGTTTATTACAGATCTTACACCATCCAGGTAAGGGGTCCCTTGTCGGTGCTCTCCTCTGTCACCCTTTCCAGCTCCTCAATCCGGCTCCCCGGCTGGATGTGCCCCCAGCTTGCTGAGCTTCTGCAGGAGGGTGCTGCGCAGCTCCCTGTCCCCCACGTTGTCCGTGATGGCCTCCAGGAAGTGCCTCTCGTTGGCCCTCCGCAGGGTGTTGCTGGGGGACGTGTCGGCGTTGCTGAACGCCTCGTACTGCGACAGGACCTCCAGCGCCACCACCACCAGGGGCTCCCCGCAGCCCTCGCCCGGCAGCATGGCAGCCACGTGCAGCAGGTGGCAGAACATCTGGATGCAGACGAAGGACACCTCCTGCGGGGAGGTCCCGTCCCCGGCGGGCTGCGAGGGGGGTCCGGCCGTGCCCTTGACGGAGGTCAGCAGGTCCGTCAGGCTGCCGCAGTACAGCTGCACCACGTGGAGCCAGGCCTCTGGGGGCAGCCAGGTGGAGCAGCTGGAGCTGCAGAGGAGCTGGAAGCCCCTCAGGAAGAGCACGGAGAGCTGGAGGCAGCAGGCAAACGGGCGGAGGTTGAGCAGGGGCATGTACTGCACGTACTCCAGCGTGTAGGGCACGTGCAGGACCTGCCTCTGCAGCAGGTTTTCCACCACGTGCACGAGCCTCTTCCACTCGCTGTGGCTGCACCAGGGGAGCACCTGAATGAGGGCCACCAGGAACCCTTTGCTGAAGAGGTTCACTTCTTCAGGGTTGTCCACGTTGACGGTGAGGAGCGCCAGCATCGTGTCCCTGAGCGCTGGGGACACGCAGCAGCACTCCATCCACGCCAGGAGCCCGCTGCCTGGTCCGTAGGCTGGCAAAGACTGGGATGTCCACTCGTCCTCAGGGAGGGTGCAGATCTCGAACAGTGTCGCTGGGACCTCGTTCTTGAAGTGGTCTCCATAAAGCTTCTTCAGTCTGAGCCCGACGGTCCAGTCCAGGGATGCCACCTTCCTGTGGAGCCAGGCCAGGGACTGGACCCACAGCTCCGGGGAGGGGGCAGATTCTGGTCCCACCACCTCGCAGAGCTGGCAGAGGATATTCAGAATCAGGTCTTTGGTCTCCAGTGAAGGGAAGAGCTGCTCCCTAGGCTGATGCCAGTACCTGGTGTAACCATCTAGAAGCTTGCAGAGGCTCAATAGAAGTGGGAATGGGTGACAGGATTTGATCCAGTGCTCTTCTGAACAGGGCTGTATTCCCAAAGCCTTACTGAGGACCTGCAGGCTCAGCTCAATCTGAGGAGAGTCTGACTTCAAATAGGGAAGGACAAAAGCTTTGGTCACCTCTGCAGGTGACACAAGTGGGGTGGCTGAGCCTGGCTGCATGAGAAAGGTCAGGAACTGAAGGAACTGCTCCTCTTCCCTCGCAGTGGAAAGCTTCCCCCATACTGCCTCCTCCAGACACCTCACCACCAGGTTGTGTGGCCTGCCTGGATCCTTTTGGGTCTCCAGGAACCTCAGTGCTGGGAAGGAGCAGAGGATTTGTGCGAGGAACTGGTGTGCTCCTAGGTTGACCACAGCAAGATGACAAACCTGCTTCACCGTGGCCTCGGGGTACAGCAGCATGAGCCTGGCCACAGAAGCCACAGCCCTGGTCAGACCTTCATCGGACACACTCTTCGTGATCTGGTTCAAAGTCACATTCAGATCCTCCTGGAACCCTTCCCTGACAACCTGCAAGTTCGAGGACAGACCTGGTCCACCCCAGGACATCAGGACACCTGAGATCACCTTGTTTTTGTCAGTTAATGAAAGCTCAGTGTAACAGTCCACGATGGCTTTGGTCACTTGCACCTGCAGCTCTCGGGCCTCCTTGTCTCGACAGGATGTAGCAAAGCTCACCAGGGTCTCCAGCAATTTCAAAACTAGCTCTGGTTTCTGGAAGAGAGCTTTATTTTGCACAAGGCAGTCAACCCAGGCCTTTGTAAAGGCCCAGGTCTTTTCAGATGCAAAAACAGAGCACATGTCTGCATGCCTGTCCAGCTTTTGTGCAATGATTGCCATGGCAACCGACGACACAAGACTGGTGGCCAAATCCTTGCTCTTCGGGCTGGCACTGCTCTCCTTGAGAAAGTCCTTGGTGACCTGTGTCAGCTCTAACACTACACGTGTCTCATCCTCACCCATGTCTCTAGTCTCCGAGAAGCAAACCAGGTTCTTCCCAAGGGTGGTCAGAGTGTCCAGGAGCCGGTAGCTCTCATAGCAGAGCTGCTCAGAGCTGCTCAGAGCATCCTGCAGCTCCTCTCCCCAGGCACGCAACAAGCTGCAGAGAAACTCCAAGCCAACACAGAGCTCCTCACGGGAGAGTTTGGTCACAGACAGGAGGCTCACGGTTCTCTCTGCTTCCCTCACCTTCTCTCCCAGCCCACTGTGGTGGAACTGGCTGTCAGGGTCGCTGGTCCAGAGGCTGACCGTGGCACTGACCTTGTGCAGGTACTCTGTGGTGGGGAGGGAGCTGCCTGCTGGCTCCAGCTCAGTGAACACGGAGAGCAGCTCGGCCAGGTTGGCCAGGGCGTAGCACTGCATGCGGGGCTGGGTGATGTTCCTGTGGATCTGCATCAACCCCTCCACCAGGACCATGAACAGCCCAGGGGCAGCTGGGGGGATGTTCACAGGGTCACCCTTGAACCTCTTTGGGGGCTGCAGACCATCGTCCAGAGAGGACTCACCCCCCTGCTGGCGTATGAGAGCGCTGAACGCAGAGACTGTCGCATCCTCCTGCCCTTCCTTGTGCTTCATCACCTCCCACCACACGTCCAAGAACAGCCTGATGTCGGATGGGGACGTCTCGCTGGTCACATATGCCACCATGTGCTCCAGCTGCTCCCGGCACACCCCCGGGGGCAGCGCCAGCAGCAGCTCCACGAACACCCGGGGCACGCCAAGCGCCTTGACCAGCTCGAAGAGGGCGGTGTGGTTCACGTCGGGGATCATCGCGCCCACCGAGAAGAAGCCGTCGTCCCTCCATCCCCACTCCAGCGAGGCGGCCGGGGGCGCGGGCAGCAGCACCTTGGCCCAGACGATGGCCACCGCCTCCCGCTTCCAGCGGCCGTGCTCCCGCGGCGAGGGGCAGCGCTCGCCGATCTCCCGCAGCGCGTCGGTGATGGGCACCCCCGCCAGGGGCCAGTCGGCCTTGCGCAGCTCCCGCAGCGCCCGCGGCTGGATCAGGCGGGCGGCCAGCAGGAACCCGCCGTGCAGGATCGCCGTGTGCTCGCCCACGGCCCAGGGCCCTGCGGGACACACCGTCAGCGCCGCCCGGCCCGGTGCCCCCCGGTTCCCCCCGTCCCTCCCGCTCCCGCACTCACCCGGCTCCATGGCGGCGGCGCGCTGTGACGTCACGCGGGCAGCTCGATATGACGTCACTACCCCCCGCAGCGCCCCCCGGAGGCCCGGCGGTGGGTGAAGTTAATGAATAAATTTTTTATATAGATTTATATTATTATATTGTATTTCTATAGTATATATGTAGTTATGTATATCGGATATTATAATGCATTGTATTTCTATTACTATATTGCATTTCTACATTAGAATTGTTATATTTTATATTATAGGCAATATATTAAGTAATTACGTATAATTACATAAGTAATTATGTATAATAAAAATTACGATAGTATACTAGATATTACAGTGTATTTTATTTATGTAATTATATTGTATTTCTATATTACATATTATATGCAATATAATATGTAATTATGTATACCAGATATTATATCATGTTTCTATATTATAATGTGTTCTGTTACATAATATATATAATATATGAAGTAATTATGATAGTAATGCCAGATATTATAATGCATTTCTATTATTATAAGGTGTTAGGTTATACGATATATATAATATATGAAGTAATTATGTATACCAGATATTATAATGCATTGTATTTCTATTATTATATTGTACTTATATACTATAATGTGCTTTATATTATATGTAATATATAATGTAATTATGTATACCACATATTATAGTGTGCTGTATTTATATTTCATTTTTAATAAGTTTATTGACAATCAATTAAGTAATTAATTATTGTGCCCAGATATGCAATTAACAGCGAGGGAAACCCCTGGTGCACGGGCACAGCAGGTGGGCACCCAAACCATCCTCCCCAACCATTTTTTTCATTTCAGGGCACAGCTCACATGTGACATATTTAACTTCATCAATGCAGAATTGAAAATTCATCACTAAACAAAAAAGCTCGAATAAACGCCGAAGTGTTGCCTCCAAAAGGCAGTTCCTCACCAAAAGCTAATTGCAAAACCATAATTCTCTTATTTCAAGCTGCCTCCCAGCACCTCAGCAGACAGCACAGCTACACACCCCAAAGCTCAGCCTCAGCTGCCTCCTGGAATGTGGAAGGCTCCTTGGGAAGGGGTGGAAACCACCACATCAATAACATGATCCCAGCGAGAAACACACCTCGGGCTTCTCAAGTGAACATTTCACCTCAAAAGCTGGGGAAGCATCCTGGAATGAAAATAAGGACTAGAATATTCACAGGATTTGGCAAGATCATTTCTTTGTTCCCAATAAACATTCTGACAGCTGAACTGCTCCAGTTCTCCATACATGGCCCCACATTTTGCTGCTGGAGCAGGGCATCTGCAGTACCCACAGCCACAGAAAATCTCTTCTCTGAGCTGCAATTGCAGGACAGCTAAAGCAAATTCATTAGAAAATTAGATATTATAACGTATCTATCAATCTCTTTTTCAACAACAACACAGAAATGTGAGATTTTCTTAACTGATATCTCTGGACTTGAAGCCATGTGCTCAGCCTGCTCCTCGATGCACAGCCTGATTTTTCAGAAGGAGAACACGTCATTTGCTTGAAAGGAGAGAGCAGCAGTCACAGACATCAGCTTAAATCAAACCAACCGATCAACCAACACCCTCAGATTGGGAGGGCAGTGCAACACATTCCATAGGATTGGCATTTTCCTGGATGAAATCCAAGGCACAAAGGAGCAGCCCAGTCCTTTCCTCCAGCTAAGCTGAAACCTACTTCATGTTACGAGCAGCAAACCACTTGTCACTGTTGTCTGCAGCCATGGCCTGCACAAAGACAAGTGTGAACGTGGTCAGAGCAGTGGGAAAGCTATTTTGATGGATAAGTTACTTTTTTTAGCTACTAGTAAGGAGAACAGACACTGAAAACCAATGTTCTCTGGCACAGCAAATAAATAATGACTGGTTAATACATGAGCAAACCAGAACAGTTTGGACACAGCCTTCCCACAGAGCTCACATTCCATCCCAGGGAATGTCCCTCTGCCTCCAGGGGATGTCCAGCTGCACTGATGCTACTGCAGCTCAAAAAATCACTTTTTGCAGTAACTTACATCAAAGTGTTGTTGATGTGTCCAGCAAGAAACATGATCACCCAGCTGCCCAGAGAGTGAGGCTGGAAAACTCCACACAGGGCACTAAGTGAGCTTTAAAAACTGATTTATTTTCCTTACCAAGCCTGGACAATTTGCTTCTTGTTAAAACTCGACATGGCATGAAAACTAAGATTCTACTGGTATCTATAATCAGGAAGAAAATTAATATGCAAGCAGAATTACTTACATCATCCAACAGCTTGTCACCGTTAGGGTCCACCTTGGACAGATCTCTAAAGGCTTCATCTCCCACAAAACAGATTTCATGGCCGTCCTAAACCAAGTTTAAGAGCAGGTCAGTTAGATAAAAGGCAGAGAGAAATTTAAACGCAATTTCATCCTTATTTCCAACATTACTCACAGGATCAGCCAAAATAATCACTTGCACTGTGGCTTTGCCAGGCGTGTCCAAGCTCACCAGGGGTGTCAAAATTTTCTGATTCTCCTTTTTCATCAGTGCTTCAATGCTTGGCAACTTAAACAGAAAACAAACAAAAACCAACCTTGTATTCCCACTGCAAGAAAGGATAAACTATCTGCTCAGTATTATTTTGTTCACACGTGAGATACTTTGTTAACACTAGAAGTTGACTTCCCCAGCTCTGGGTAAGGAAAGGGGAAAGGGAAATGTGACTGTTACCTCTTCCCTGGCACAGGAGAAGGCGATCCGTCCAAACGCTGTCCCGTGATCCACTGCTCCTCCAACAGCCTTCAGCTCCAGCTTACACTGAAACAGGGAGAAAGCAAGCCTGGCTTGTAGGGACACTGTTCTCCATGCTGCATTCACTCCAGCTTTTTCTCCAGGATGTGGATGATTTCAAAATCCCCCATTCACACGGTTCCCAACCGGCCAGAATTACCAGAGCAAACCACAGCTTCTCCTTTTTTATAAAAATGCAGTTGAGTGCACACACAAGCTTCAATTAAAATGCTCAGAATTAAGCACACAGTTGCCTTAATTAAGAGGTTTTTTGCTTTTAAGATTCTGTTCTCATGAAAGAAGAAGTTTCTAGGATGAGTTTTCCAAGGACTGACCTGGTTATCCGCGTAGCCCAGCAAAGCCCTTTGCTTCTCCTCGTCCTTCTCGTATATTTTCATCCCAAGCAAACCAGACCAGTAGTTAATAGACTTCTGCAGATTTGAGACACCCAGGGTTACCTTCAGCACAGGATCTTGAGAATTGCAATAATTGGGAATCAGTTACAAATGTATCATGGTTTTAAAGGCACAGTTTTACACTCGTGAGAAGTAACAAGGAAATAATAAAACCCTGCTCTGTTTCATAAAATGCCATCAAGGCAAACACACAGCCCTTTCTGATATCCCAGTGGTAAATCTCTTGAACACCAGTTAGAGTGAGGGTAAATGTTTCACCTTGCTTGAGCTTCTCCTTGTCCTCCAGGTAGAACTTGTATCCTCCTGGAGCTTCAGTTTCAAAGACACCAGTTGTGACTTCTTTGAGGGGCCACCCCATCTTCTTGGCATTGCTCACAGCCTGGCTGGACACCAGTGTGATGCCCTGGTGAGGACACAGCAGAGACACATAAAATTCAAGGGGAGATGCAAAGACATCATGTGTTTTCATAGATGAAACACGAGATCTCCATCTGCTGTCAGTAGGTAAATCACAAAAAAACAGGTAATAATAAATAATTCTGATTTCCTAGAGCAAGATCCTTCTTAGCTAACCATTCCAAGTTGGATATGGCAGAAAACACCAGCTGTCCTACACACACAGCAGAGGCAGAGCTCAAGGAAGTGTTTCCTGGACTATAAGTGAGCACAAATCTGCTCTAGTTTCTGCTCTTCCAACTTGGAGACAGCCACAAAAGCAAGAATAAAATGTTTAGGGGACCAAACAGCATAAAAAAAGCAGCTGGTACAACCTATATGACAAACAGACTCCTAATCTTTAAAGTAAATAAGCTTAGCTTCAGAAGATTTTGCTGCTAGGAGTGGTACTTACCAGAAAGTCATTGCCCAGGCGATATTCTCCAATGCCATAATTGTAAGTCAGTTCTGCAACAAAGTGATTGTCCTCTGGCCCGTAGCCCACCATCGTTTTGCTCCATTTTCCATCATAAGGGCTGGAATATCCATATTTAATTGTTAGGAGCATTAAAAGTAACCAACATGAAATGCAAATATTGGTGTTTCAAGGAAGAATTGCATTTCTAGAGTAAAAAAATGGCAGGTTTGGCCTTGGGCAAAAGCAATTCTACCTCATTAACAGCTCACAATTTAAGAGCACAGGCTGCTCGTTAGCTGAAGTTACATCAGCACTTCCTTATTGCTAAGGAGGAAAGGGCACCAGGCTGGAAGATTTCTTTCCTTTCAGAAAGAAACACGTTCTTATTTCTTCTTTCTTCCATTCTTCTGTCTTTACAAAAGCCTGTGGGGCTACCAGGAGGGACTTTTAACTCAACCTTAGTTAGCCCTGTGCCCGTGAAAAAAATCAATTAAATGTAATTCTTGGTAAGTTTAGAAACAGTTTAATAAAGTTGAATATCAGTCTGTGGGTGTAATTCAGCAATACTTGTGTTCAATGTAAGCATTATATCTGCACAAAAAGGGGGTCTATTGGTTCCAAGGGAAGTAATTAAAAAAAAAACTAAAGCAACAAAACAGCACAATAAATCAACCCAACTCTTATTTTACTATAGCAGTACATGGCTGGCAGGTATTTTATAAAAACAAGGGACCCAGGGCACTCACCCATTGCAGCTGGCCTTGCAGCCCTCCTCGAACTCCTCGTGCCTCAGCACCTTTGGAATCAGGAGAGAAAGGAGTCAGCATGGGGACGACGTGGACCCCATCTCCCTTTCCCCTTTCCTATTACCTTTCCCACTTTCCCATCCCCCTTTCCTCTTCCCTGTCCCCCCCTTCCCCTTCCAGGTCCCCCTTTCCCCTTCCCCATCCTCCTTTCCTATCGCCTGTCCCCCTTTCCTTCTCCCCTTCCCCATCCCTTTGGCCCTTTCCCCTTCCCTATCCTCCTTTCCTATTGCCTGTCCCCCCTTGCCCTTCCCCTTTTCCCCCA